CAGGAGGGCGCAGTGTAAACATGTCAATCCGTGCAGCTAAACACACTGCTATTTTATTGTTATACTGAGTTGAATTAATTGGAAAAGTGCTGATGGTGGATGGCTTGTTTATGATGTGCTCTGTTGGGTGGCTGGAGGGTGTAGGACGGTCTAACCCCCACTGACACTCACCCGAGTAGAGTTCCTGGGAGGTTCGCACCTCCGGGAGGGATTATTATCCTGTCAGGAGCATCTTCACAGCAACTTAACAGGATCATTTCAAACCCCTGAGTTGTTTTCACAGCCTTTATGGGAATGGTCATTCCAAATGGTCAGAGGCGAATGAAGCAATGCCACATGGGAAACCATATTTGAATAACAACAAGGTCTCTGAACTCTGACCTTTAGGTTCTATTCGGGCTCAAGCATTACTTCAACACGAGTTTAGCCCAATCGACAGCATTTGTAACAATGTTGATCACACACACAAAAAAGAGGCACTTACAAAAGAAGCAAAATTAATTTCAAAAAGTTTTTAAAACTTTATAAAGACATTTTATAAAATCACTTACATCACTTCTGTTAAAATTTGTAGTACTTGATCTGTAAAGCTGTTCTTGTAATTTTTACGGTCATTTTACACTGACATGGGAACAAAGCTGTAAACTAGATATACAATACCATTCAAAAGTTTGGGGTTAGCAGTTTTTTTTTAATTTTTTTAAAGAAATTAATACTTCTATTCAGCAAGGATGCATTAAACTGATCAAAAGTGACAGCAAAGTTTTCTCTCAAATACTGTTCTTTTGAACTTTCCATTCATAAAAGAATTTTAAAAAAGTTTCCACATAACTGTTTTCAATATTGATAATAATAAATGTTCCTTGAGCAGCAAATCATCAATAGAATGAGTTGATGAGGATCATATGCCACAAACAACTGGAGAAATGAATAACTGAAATCTCAGCTTTGCTATCACAGGAATAAATTATACTTTAAAACATGAAAACACACAGAAAAGGTCCATGTGTGATAATGTTTCAAACTAAAACCATGTTAACAAATATTGTTGAATCCTGTTATACTAATTTTAAAAAAGTGCCTCGTAACTCAAATCGTGATTATTTTCTGTTTTTTTTTAAAGAAAGAGGAACATATTCAAACTAATTTCCCTTAGTAATCAATGACAGATTTGCCATCGTTAACTTGTACTGAATCTAGAATATTAATTTAAACACAAGGGGAATTTGTGTTCTTAATCATTGCTTTTAAAAGTGAAGGGAATGTTTCACTGCGTGTAAATACAAAGCAGCATGAACACAAATAAACAAATGGGTGGTTTCTCTTTCCTTTCCCCAAACAGTTAAACTTGAATGACAACTCTTACACGTGTCTATGCAACAGGCAGCGAGTTCCTATAAGGAACTTGCAGAATATTTAAATACGGAGGTGGCATGGACAACATTTCCTCAGAATATGTAAAGGTTAGCAGAATCCTAAATAAAGAAACACAACAACAAAAGTCTTGTGTTTTCACAAAACCACAGTAAGAGCTATAGTGTGACGAATGTTCACAACAGCTGTGCACCAGAAATACTGTGAAACTGATATTGCAAGAAAGCTTCACTTGCCTTCTGTTGTCTGACCTCTAGAAAGCATCTACTTGGTACAGACCACCACAGTATACATTTCCACTTCCCATTTATAAAATTTAAATGCGATTCAGAAATGAATAACTACTTCATTTTTAAGGAACATTCATCACTTAAGTAGGCCAACTCAGAAGCTTTGTGATGCTGTGAACTCCGCAATAAGAGCTCAGATAGACGTACAGTGAGTTCTGCTTGACATCCTGACAAAAGCAGGAACACAATTAAATGCGGACCCACCAAAAAGTAAATAAAATGGATTAGCATAATCCCTCAAATGACCCACACCAATGGCGGCAAAAAAATAAAAAAAATAAATAAAAAAAAGAGCTGAATGATGCACTGATACTCCATACTTGAATAAATCAAACAAAATCTATGTATCAAATAAACGAGCATTATAATGTTTATTAAAACGGTTTTGTTCATGTTTTCACTTTGATTTTTTTAAATAGGAAAAAATAATTACCAATACAATGCCCATTTAAAATGTCACACGATTAAAAGAGTATAACCAGGAAATCATTACCATCATCATTAAAGGGGTCATATGATGCGATTTCATGTTTTCTTTTCTCTTTGGAGTGTTACAAGCTGTTCGTGAATGAGGGACTTTGTAGAAAACAAAGCGTTTGAGAGAGGCAGGGCATACAGGACCTACAATAATGTACAGTATTTGAAAAATAGTGTTTTTTGAACATTAAAACATGTCAACATATTCTGTTACACCAAATAATGATCTTTAAAAAAAAGCATCATATGACCCCTTTAATATAAACTGATTTGGTTCCAGTTACCAAATATTGGCACACATGTCCCTCTAGTGGCTAATAAAAGGTCAGAATCATAAGGAAAAACAATCAGCTATAGTCACTGCAATATTAACATAGAAAAATATTTAACATACTACAAAGTGTAAATATCAAAATCAGGAGTGTACCTAATTATATGAAAAAAAAATAAATAAATTTAAAAGCACTACCAAACATAAAATGTCAGATTATAAATGTTTTTTTTTTCTTTTTTATAAAGTTTAAAGGACCCAGTAAGTTTGAGGATGAATACTACATGCATCTAACAAACCACTAACATGCAACAGATGTAGTGTTGGTGATGATACAAAAACTACTAACAATACACTTATGGTTCATTCTTGGGATTTCCAATCTTTATCCCGTTTCAAAGAAAGACTCTGCAGAGTAAAAGAAATAGAGCCATAAAATATTTATAGACACAGAAATGTCAATTATGCAAAACATGTATAGTATGAAGGATAACATGAATCATTACCTCGCTGTCATCTGGACTGTGCAAGAATCTCTTGACAGCTCCTGTACACTTGAACCAAACAATTCAGCCGAGGCTTTGAACTCTGCCAGAAGAATGCAACATGTTAATTTACAAACTGACATGCCAAAGATTGCTATAATCTTGCTTTTGCAATAAACAACAGCTGCTTCATACCTGGAAAAGAGGGACAACACTGGTCACTGTCTCAGGATCTGCTGGGTCCTTTATCAGAATGCACAAATAGTATATAATGCCGTGCTGAGGTGGAAACATGTGATACAAGGGTGATTATTTTTAGATCACAAAATCAATCATGCACAAGAGTCACAGGAGAAAACGGCACGTTTACCATATAAACAGCCTCGTTGATCACAATGTCTTTCAGCTTGTTCATCTCAATGAAGATCGTACTTTCTCTTCCAGATACGTAAGATGAAGACAGCTGGACACCAAGGGAACCGATTATGAGAAGGGTCTCATGGTCCACCTTCACAAAGTGAATATGAATCATCATCCCCGCCAGAGTGAGGATGCACGCGACAGGACAGTCGTGTTCTAGACATTTAAAAAAGTCATTAGTAGTGGAATAATCTCATTGTACTATTGGAATATAAGCTTATGAGTTCATATTCTTGCAGTATCAGATGTTCTTACCTCGGTGAAGAAAAATACAGCATAAGCAAATAACCAAACGAAACAGGTGTAGACCATCACCTTGCGCAAGGACAGTTTCGGTGAGGTGACGGTAAACTCTCTGCAGAAAGCAGAGCGAGTTTGGCAGTCTAAAGAAATAGAGTAGCCATTTATGTCTGTGAACTCTTCCTCGGCCATGTTGATCACAGTCAGAAAATTATATGAATAAGGATTTAGGATTAAATAGCTTTGCTTTGACAGTCATTTGACAACAAACAGTGGGATCTAGCCATTTATGTCTGTGAACTCTTCCTCGGCCATGTTGATCACAGTCAGAAAATTATATGAATAAGGATTTAGGATTAAATAGCTTTGACAGTCATTTGACAACAAACAGTGGGATATTCTTCTTATGGGGTATGGCGTTGAATCATTAATAGAAAAGAGCTTTTCCGCCACCTAGTGGACTGGGTGTGAAAAGAGTAAGAATTTGTTCCCATTGACCTTTTTCAGGATAGAAAGGCCCATTTAATTTTACGTGAATAAAAATGAGGGCCAGACAGTGGGTTGCCGCTACTGTTGTGTACCTAAATATCGGCCATTTATTTAAAATGTATGTTTAAAAAAATAAATCAAAATATCTGTTGTAAAAATTTGACAATTCTGTATACAGGTTCTATATCATGTCGAATTTTCAAGACAGTATATTGTTTAGAATGGTCTAAATGTCTGTCCTTCAGAACTTTGCTGTCATTATAAAAAAATTAAGTGTTGTCTGAATGGTCCATACGATAATTTGTTTTTACTAGTGACAAGTGACTTTTTAACAGCATAATCTTTGTGAAAATGAACAAGGGACTTTCAACTTTAGGATACTTATATATATTTGAGGGATTATGCTAATCCATCTTATTTACTTTTTGGTGGGTCGGCATTTAATTGTGTTCCTGCTTTTGTCAGGATGTCAAGCAGAACTTATATATATATATACGCGCGAGTACTCGTTCCAGAAATAATATTCTTTAAAACAATATAGCCTACTTTGACAAATATAAGTGATAACTAAATTGTATAGGCTACTATTTACAATTAAATGAAAGTCTAATAGCTTAAGCTTTACATGTAACATTAAATAACAGTTAAAACTTGAATCAAGTACTTCACATGTGCTTTAAAATATTAGTTTACATATTAAGTGTACTTCTTTAAAGCACATCAAACAATTAAAATAAGTTAAAATGTGCTTTAAAAATAATTTGACATTATAAAGTGCCTTCTCAAAAGTTTAAGTGTTAAGAAACATGAAAGTGTCCATTAACATCATTGCATTACTGTCTGCAAGTACAGTTTAAAACATAATTTTAAGATTTGAAGCACACTGAAAAGTGCAAAAAAAAAAAAAAAAGCACACTTCTTTTTCAGACAGGAACGCCCAATGAGAAGTTATTACTCTGTCGCCTCATATGTACCCAAAGATGTTCATCTTGCATCATCTTGTTTTTGAAATCATATAGCTGTTGACCTCTGCCCGCCCCAACTTTCCTGCCACATCCTACAAGTAAATACTGCTTGTGGAGAATGGACTCCGTTTCCCATCTGGCTTTGCGGCTGGTAACCTTCGACTTCCGCTCCAGTGAAAACAAGCCGATCAGCTGATCTGACCTGGCAACAACATTCACCCGAATCTACCGGGGAGGGGAATCATTTTACAAGCTGGTGGGGAAAAACAATTCTCTTGACATCAGCCGGCTTATTAATTTGTGTGTTTATCAAAGGGTCGTTGTCGTGTGTGAGGTTTCAGGGAATTCAGCAGCTTGTTTGATGAAAATTGCGGTGTGATTCTGGCTCGAAATCAGCTTGTTTTGTTCGGCCAAAGCTGGGTTGATCAATGTGTTGTTGGGTGAACATACTTTAAGGACAGTGTGTACGATACTAAACAATTATTAATTCCGCTGCATTAGTCAGATTTCTAACCCCCTAGTATTTTTAGTCTTTGAAATTGGAGGTGTTTTACGGACACGTACGCTAAGCTTAGCTAGCTCGAGTAACAAAGCCCAGGACGGTAACGACACCCGAATGTATCTGTTCTTGGTGTTTACATCTGCCAATAAATACATGTCGATTTTTGTTGCTTGTAGTTCGTAAGTTTAGACACTTTAGACTGCTTGATCACTTTAAAATCAACCAGAAAGCTAGACAAGTCTGACCTAGTGCCAGTGCTATACGGGTGTCAACTGATCTAATTATAGTTCATATTGAATATTTGATTTTAAGCCAGTGTCATAATTTGACACCACATTTCGAATTCCAATGAAATTCAAGGCAAACGAGTAAGATGCTTTGTTTAAGACCTCAAATGCATCATATTTGAGGAATTATATCTCATATCTCTTGTTGATTGTACATTTAGGTTGGTCTCTGCTGTAGTTTGTGCAACTTTGAGGAATATCTAGTCAGTATATTTACTGAGGGATTTGAGTACTTTAAATTCGGTCGCTTCCGTTCGGTTCGCTACCTCGCTGTTATATTTAGACGTATAATGAGCTGTCAGGGCTCGTCGGTGGAGAAGGGGGTGAACGGCGTCCTGGTTTGTCAGGAGAGTTATGCCTGCGGTGGCTCCGACGAGGCCGCCTTCGAGTGCGACGAATGCGGCAGCCTGCAGTGCGTCCGCTGCGAACTGGAGCTCCACCGTCAGGAGCGCATGAGGAACCATGACAGGATCCGAATCTCACCTGGACACGTACCCTACTGCGATTCGTGTAAAGGGGACGGGGGCGTTCCGAACGGGGGTCGCCTGAGAGCAGTGGTCCGCTGTCAGGGATGTAAAATCAACCTGTGTTTGGACTGTCAGAAGCGGACTCACAGCGGGGTCAGTAAAAGAAAGCACCCCCTCACCGTCTACCCTCCTTCGAAACCCGCGGAGAAGAACTGCAGCACTGGAGTTGAACAGCTGGATGCCTTGAAAGCTAAACTGGAGCAAGTCACCAGCTTTCTTCTAGTGGATGAAAAGGAAGATATGCAAGTACGTCAGCTTGTGTAACTTTTGAACTTTCTCCCGTTTTATACAACAGTTAGTTCTGGTCCTCAAATTTGATTGGCTGAGTGGCGTTAAACGGGTTCTCATTATGAAGCTAATTGAATAAAGCTAGACCCTCTTTTTTGTAAAATCGGAAATGGATCTCGCGAATGGAAACGGATTTGTGTGCTTGAAGTCGTTATATATATATATATATATATATATTGTATTTGAAAATAGATAATGACACGATTGCTTTTTCGATTTTCCAAATGTGGAATTTTCTCAACTAGTCAGGCGGAGTGGAAAGTGAAAAACATGGAGTGGAATGATCACAGAACGACTTGAGCTGGAGGGGAACTTACTGTCGCTCCGCTCCACTCAATTATGTTGTTCCAGACCAGCTTTTAGCCTGTACATTGCATTGTGACAGGCAAAGCGCGATACTTTTCGTACTCTAGAACTGCTTATTGGAAGAAAATGGCAAATTACCAAATGTTGTCTCAGAATTAAGTTTGAGCATACAATTTTGATTTTATGCAAATGTTTTATGCAAAATAAACATAATAATAATAAAACCCCCTGATACAAGGAAAATGTGTGATATTGAGTGAGGTGAAATGTAACATTAAGCAACATGTTAATTTCCACAACCTGAACAGGTGAAGGATGAGGAGTTCGTGAGGAAATTAGCCTGCAGGCCCGAGGAGCTCTTGAAGGTGGTGTCCATTTTCGGCAACACTGGAGAAGGCAAATCCCACACCCTCAATCACACTTTCTTTTTGGGTCGTGAAGTTTTCAAGACATCTCCAACCCAGGAATCCTGCACTGTTGGGGTGTGGGCAGCACTGGACCCTGTCCATAGGGTGGTGGTTGTTGACACAGAGGGTCTCCTGGGGGCAGGAACTAACCAAGGACAGCGAACCCGCCTCCTTCTGAAGGTGCTTGCGGTCTCTGATCTGGTCATCTATCGGACACATGCTGACCGGCTACATGATGATCTTTTCAAGTTTCTTGGAGATGCATCAGATGCGTATCTAAAACATTTCACGAAGGAGCTGAAAGCCACAACTGCACGCTGTGGTTTGGATGTGCCCCTTTCGACTTTGGGTCCTGCTGTTATAATCTTCCATGAGACAGTCCACACCAAGTTATTAGGCTCAGGTCAGTTTTGGATGTTTTCTACTTTGCTGTCCTACTTACCCAACAATAATAAGTTAGGAATGACACTGAAAGATAAGGTAAGCAAAATAATAAAAGCATAATACCTCTCTTTTGCACACATTGTAGACAAGCCATCAGAATCGGCCGAGCGGCTTCTTCAGGAACGTTTCAGAAAGCTTGGCCTCTTTCCGGAAGCATTCAGCTCTATTCAGTACCGGGGCACTCGAACCCACAACCCCCCGACTGACTTCAGCGGTCTGCTGCGCAGCGTGGAGCAGCAGTTAGACAACAACACTACACGATCTCCACGGTCTGCCGGTGTCATCTATAAAGCCTTGCAGGTAATTTTTTTTTTCATTGATAATCTCAATAACACTTTTAGCTCATCAATGATATGAAAGGGTGGAAGAGTTGGTTTGAAATTTTCTCAACAACTTTTCTCTAAAAACATTTCTTTTTTTATCTGCTGAAGTGGCCTGTTTTTGTCACATGACTATTTACAAATCTTAAGCTCTGGCCATGACATATTCCAAAAGACATTTGTGCTATTTCTAGTTATCAATTGTAATGTACAGTAGTTTGTGTGGCTGATCAAGCTCTTGTTCTCCAGGCTTTGAGTGAGTGCTTCAGTGGAGAGATTCCTGATGAGAATCTGGCAAGCAACTCTTTTTTTCCAGATGAATACTTTACCTGCTCCAGCATCTGCCTCAGCTGTGGGTAAGTCTTCACATCTCAGGAATCACTCCACTACTGATTTCAAATCTGTTTCACATTTTTAAAGCAACACTCACTTAGAAGAACATACTCTCTGCTGTTCAAGAGTTCGGGGTGTATATTTTATTTAACAGAAATTTTTTTTCAAAAACTACAACGAACGACTCGTTTGGACTACAACGCATATTTTCCGGGATTTGTGATATCACAAATATCGACGAATGGGATGAGACCTGGTTGAGCTGCACTAGAGAAGGCAACGAGTGTTATCACTATGTCGGAACCACTGATTTCTAGTCGTGTCCATTTTTGGAAGGCCAAACAAAGTAGTTTCGCTTTCACAACGAATCACAGCGTCTCACACACGGTGGCCTAGAGTGAGCAGAGGTGGGTGGGCCTGAGAACGGTGCGGCCGGCGATTTCGACGAAGGAGCGTCCGGAAG